GCGTGTGACTCGGCTGTGACGCGACTGTCATCGCTGCCGCGTCACAGCCGAGTCACACGCAGCGCGGCTCACCCGCCCCACCGGTCTGCAATGATGAGCACCATACCTTTAAACTTCTTCCCTGAAATGAATATAACTTTGTTCCGTCAAAATAGTGCAAAGTTCAGGATAAAGATTCTCGGAAAGCTCTAGTCATTTTGGACGGCTCTAGGGAGTCCGCGTTCCTTTTTCGTCAAATTGAGGACGCTGTGAAGCAGACCAATTTCAAGCGACTAATGATCGAGCCATCGGTGAGGCATACTTAGGCATACTATTACTGAGGCATACTACATATTCTTCACTTTTGCCGTTGTCCTCTACAAAAGTTTTTTACAGTTTCTTCTACTTCTCTCTTCGTTGGATATTTCGGAAGTACATTTGGTGGCAAAGAAACTGCCTGTTTATCACCAGCAACTGGTTTTTCTCTTTTTTGTACGTACTATGTTGTACATCTGGCAGCTGTATTTGGAAATCTTGAAATAGACGGCAGTGGCGGTTGCATCGGCCTCCAATATGTATGGTTCCATTAAGGGAATTTGGAAACAGGAGGCATTTCAACTGCCTCTGGCGTCTGAGTGAACAGTCTGAAAGTCTTGTGGTCTTTTAGTTATCAAGGTTGGTCGAGGTTCTCGATTCATTCCGCACGACTATCGCTCGTGAGGAAATGATTCGTCTTCTACAGGTACGGCTGATCCACAAATTCTCGAAGAGCGTCGGCATATCAAAGGTGACGCGATGTTTTGGTCCCTTCATGAAATTGTGTCTGTGACTTGTAAAGACTAGTGATTTTCCAGGTGATGCTTTCTTCTAACGGTGATCAGCTAGCTCATCTAGCGATATCACAGCTGTGCCTTGGACGTGGTAAGTGATACTTCACCATGCACTGAGAAATTCAGCCAAATTTTGTCAGTGGTTGGTTGGAGTTTGCAGAAGTTAGACGTGGTAACCTCGTCATCCGGGCAGTTGATTAGGGCGGTCGTTAACGGGCCGCAGACGCGGCTGCAGCAGCGACCGCGTGCGTAGGAACTATTTGCTTTTTCCAGCCTAATTTAGTCATTTTTCCCTACTTTTCACTGTTTTGGCTGCTTTTTCCAAGATTAGCAGTTCCTTGTCTTCACAAGGTAAATTATAATTGGAATTTTATAACTTTTGCGAACAATTAAACGATTAAACAAACAATTAGACAAATGCCTAAAGAAAATCGCGAAAAACATCATTACGAGAGAAAATGAAAGAATCCGCGGGTTAATACACTTCATAAAGACAATAACGTAAATTATCTCGAAAAAAATAGGAAATGCAGTGAAAATTAGGGAAAAAAATTGCAAAATTAGGGTGGAAACAGCTGATCGCCACGTCGTGACGCGCTGCAGCCGCGTCGCGACACCTGGGGCAGGCTAATCAACTGCCCGGATAACGACGATAACCCATCAGCGATGATCTTCAAGCTGCGTTCATACTTCACTGCAGCGTCCACTAGGGTTTCAACGTCCGGCAGCTTTAGCTATTGGGAAGTATGGATATCGATCTAGCGCCTGCGGGCGTTCACCAGCGTCTGCTAGCGTTGGCCAGCGTCTATCAGCGTCCACCAGCGTCTCGAGCGCCTGGGAAGTATAGGTGTCGATCTAGCGTCTGCCAGCGTGACCAACGCCTACCAGCGTCAGGAAGGGAGGTCTATTACCCATCTATCTCCCCATACTCTAAAAGCTGTCCGGTACACTCCTGTCGCGCCATAGTCTCCTCTTCTGTACGCTGGTAGACGCTGTTGCACGTCAGCACACGCTGTTGACGCTAGACCAATACCCATACTTTCCAGTCCCTTGAGACGCTGGTGGACGCTGGTAGACGCTGAAAGGCGCTGGCGCTGGTAGACGCTGGCACACTCTGGACCGATATCTATAGTTCCCCGTTCGTTGACGCCTGCCGGGCGCTCGAACAGCTAGTGGACGGTGCCGCAAAGTATGAGCCTTACCGAGTTGACGAACCTCAATCATCAGTCGTTTTTAAGTTTTTGAGTCACCCGAGTCTAATCTCCCAACTTCAGGAGGTATGGTGTCGGATATGACAGATGTAGTTGAAAAAACTCCACAAGGAACGGTATTCATCCGACCATTAAGAAGTATAAGCACAGAAGAGATCGCGACCGCTTTGCGTTTGGAGGATGTGGAACACTATGTGCTAATTCCACCTGTCACAGTGAGTTTATGTTTCCAAATCATTTTCGTTGAACAAAGTCATCTAAAGGTATAAGCATCCGACAGATCTGATAATTTTCACTATTCGGAGTATAAATTGCACCTGTGTAAATGGCACTTAGGCTGCGTTTAGCGGCAGCTTCCACCAGCATCTATTAGCGTCCATCAGCGACCATTAGCGTTACGTGTCCGGCAGCGTGAGCTTCAGCAACTAGGAGAGCAGATTTTGGTCTAGCGTCTGCCAGCGTCCACCAGCGTCTACCAGCGTTTAATAGCATCTGCCAACGTCTCGACGCTGAGACGTAGGAGAGAAGCGGAGAGCTGGATTAAGCGTCGTGAAATTGCGGCGTGTGCAACCGCACCGTACAACTACACTACACCGTACATTAATTGCATAATTCTGTGCTTTAGCAGTTGTGCGGTGCGGTTGCACACGCCGCAATTTCACGACGCCTAATCCAGCTGTTTGCTACCCTCCTACTTTCCGATACTCTCTACTTCCGGGCGCTGGTGAACGTGGTAGACGCTAGCAGTCGCTAGATCGATATCTGTGCTTTCATAGTTGCTGACGCTGCCGGGCGCTCAGAACTCTATTGGTCGCTGGTGGTCGCTGGTAGACGCTGGTGGACGCTGCCGCAAGGCATGAACACAGCCTTACACATTGGACGCCGCGAACAAAAAAAAGCACTTATAATGTCGTTAAATTCTTAGTGGTTTCATGACATTGAGAAATTTCTACATCAGTCTAGAATCATGTGAACCCATAGACGAAGGTATGGATTGATATGCATGTCGATCAGTAGACGAACATAGGAAGGTGGAAGTTAAGTATCATCATACGCTGTAGCAGAATTACTGTTAGGAATCATGGACGCACCCCGGTGTGCGAAGGCTTACTGCACTAGGCAAAAAACCCATTATTCTCACAGTTGTTTTCCAAAAATGCTTGTGGCTGTTCTAAAACCTACTCCCGCTTCGGGTCGACATGACGAAGAGAGAATGGAGAGGGCTTCAAAAGCTGATAGGAAAGAAAGGGAGCTGCGTTATACCACGGGAGATCAAAGAGGAGACTTTGTAGTAGTGAACCGAGTGTGTGCTGGGGTTGAGTTGAGCTAATGCGACTACATCACAAAATAGGGTAATTGAAGCAGCCGCGTGTGAATACACTCCTTATCCCTGAGAAGGGGTAGGCGTGGCATGTGGACATGACACATTACGGTTTACTCGTGAGATATTCTAGTTTGAAACAGCTGTCATCTCGTTCTGTGCTGGACAGAGAGGCGAACATGATTGGGTCAAAATGAAGATGTCTCCCCAGAAACGCAGCCACTGCCACGTTTAGTTGAAGTACGCAGCCACGCCTACCACATCTCAGGGATTTTGAGTGTACGCATGGACTGTTTGACATTGTAAAGATGGAAAGATGGTGCTTATTATTATCCATGATAATCGCATCTCTTAAACCACCCTGCCTTATTTTTTGTGTTGCGGTGTTGCTGCGAGATGACATCATTGAATGCTGAAACATGATTTGCACTCAGTTACCAAGTAATGAGCTACAATTTGGCTAGGCGTTCCATGGAATGACGAAAAAGGAGTGAAAAAGTTTGCCATGAAAGGGTGGTTAAGACAAACCGTGGGTCATGTATAGGCTTACGTCCGCTATGAGCCAGCGGTGGTCACCAGTTGTACAGGAAGTGCTTTCCCTCCACACACGACTGTCGTCAACGTGCTAAAGAGCGCGCCATGACTGGTACGGCCTCCCTGGTAAGCCTAGCAATAGACCAGTGTCGTAGCAGAATTGGAGACAGGGTACAGCATCGTTGTGTGAAATACATAGGGGGTCGTACTTTTTCTCTGGGGAGGGGGGGGTCGTATTTGGTCGTTGGGAGAGAGAGGGGGGGGGGTCGTATGTGCCTTTGAGAGAAATTCATCGCGTTCTTTGTCCGGTTGTTGATCTTTTCCGTAATTTTTACTGTTTCATGCTCACTATATACCCGCTCCGCCCCTGGACAGCAAAGAAGAAAATTTTCGGGAAATTCCGAAAAAGTGGTAGGAAGTTCGGGATATTCTTCCGTTTCACACTAGCTACATACCCCCTCACCCCTCCCCCGCCCCCTCCGTTTGACGGAAAATTTTTGGGTGAAAAAACTGGAGAATGGGGGAAATTTGTAGGTAGGTGTTAGAGAAGGGGGGTCGTACCGAGACCCTCATTTAGGTGGGGGGGGTCGTACGGATGACACCCTCTCTCAGAGACTTGGGGTCGCACCTGCACCATCACCGTAATGTGTGTTCTAAGCTTGATAAAAGTGAATGAAATCTGGATAGGGTCTAATAACAAAATGTTTGTGAATACATATTTCTCACGGAAAGTTCTTCAGTTGAGTTCTTTTTATTTTTCATTGCCATAATAATGAGTTGTCTTCGAATACCAAAAGAAATGAATAAGAGGGAAATGGAATTCCTTCTATTCCATGCGACAACTTTTGAGATTGGCGTCGAGATCCTCCCCGTGAGAAGTTCCTCCGAGCAGACTATAGTGGACACAGTTGCGGAAATTCTCCCAAAAAAACCCCTATTCGCAAAAACATGGATATAATCTTGGCGTCAAGGAAGAGCGTCCCTCATTAGATTGCATCATTGTGAAAGTTGTTGCTTTATTAGAGACATTGGGGTTGCATTCATGCGTGAGACTCCGCCCACCATTCAGTCTCCGCCCACACATCGTTAACAGCGAGAGCAGGACTACCTGTCATATGACAACTCATGGATTAATGTGTACTTTGAAAAAACTAAACACTTCCCTCTTACCGCGAAGAATGTAGCCTTGATATTCTTGTATAATTATTTTATTTTATTGTACTTCTTCACCACATAGTAAGTAAGGTACCTGGATTTTGACCTATTTTGCGTTATTTTTCATGTCTAGTTTTAAGAAAATCTCATAAAGTATACATACTTAACGCTATAGCTAGAACAGAGCTTAAGAAGATGGGCAAAATCGTCCATTCTAACAATTTATTTTTCCTCATTTTTTGGCGTTCCCAGTAGAGCTCACCAGGGAATTCCGTCCACTTACCATGGAACTTTAAGTGGAGACGTGTTGATAAAGTCAATAAGGTTATGCAAATATAAACAGCAAAACTGCAACCTGCATTTCACAAGCAACTTATGAGCAGGTAAAGTTTGTAATGGTGCAGTAGGGTGGAGGCTTGGTGGTGAGCTGTGAAGCATAAGCGAGGAATCGCATACGTCGAATCGAGTCGTGGTGGTTCAGTGGTAAGGTTCGACGTTCGACGACTCGATTCGACGTATGCGATTCCTCGCTTATGCTTCACAGCTCACCACCAAGCCTCCACCCTACTGCACCATTACAAACTTTACCTGCTCATAAGTTGCTTGTGAAATGCAGGTTGCAGTTTTGCTATCTATATTTGTAAATAACCTTATAGACTCTATCGATCTACCCAGGTCTCCATTCAAAGTTCCACGGTGAGTCGACGGACTTCCCTGGTCAGCAAAAATGAACCTCATCTGTGTGATCCATGTATTGACGCCTATATCATGTAATAAACCATTTCCAAAAGCTCTTAATGTCCTCAGCTACCTATTTGTAAGATGCAATTTGCAGTGTGACCAAGGTTATTGAAACAGTCCTTATAGGCAGTTGGCACGATAAATCCCAAGACGAGTAGGATTTTGGCACGATAAATCCCAAGACGAGTAGGATTAATACGCCTGGCAGGACGGAATTCCGCGACCCTGAGCAGGCGCTGCATAATGCCTTTTCCAAGGGAGGTGCCCTTATAAGGGCCCTATCAAGCCACAACATACGACCCAAACGCCCCACGCCCGCCCGCCCACAAATGGACGACCGTTCCTGACGCTCTAATCGATTCATTTGCTAAGCAAATTATGAAGCGAAGGGATTGGTATGAAGCGGCCGTGATGCTGCATGGATATATGGGTACACATATGCAGTCTACTTCGGTAGCGATTATTGGCAAGATTACAGGAAACTCGTCCAGAATCATTTTTAATACATTGAGAAGGGCTCCTTCTTGCAGGATTTTTACAGCGTCATTTCGCCGTTCTTTCCGGTCATTCTCGCCAATAATAGAGCCGCTATAGCATTTTAGCGCGAGACCAATCATCTGTGCCAACTGCACTTTAACTAGGCCTTGCGTTTGGATAGAATAAACTGCTGGACAGGTGAACTCAGAGTCAAATGTCCGCCATCTATACAAACCTGAGCGATTGGACAAAATAGGAACATTACTTTTAAATTTGATAACTGCCTAAGCAAACTTATTTTTCAGTAATCCGCCACTCTTCTCTATTATGTCTATGAGCAGCGGTCTCAAAAGTGCGCCATTCATACGAATGTACGTCATAAGTATTTCTGGGAATTTAATTAAGGATGGTTTCAAGGTAAGCAGTATTACTTTGGTTCATCTCAAAATTTTTCTTACGAAGAGCAGATGACAATGGTTTTTCATGCCCGAAGATGACCAAGTGAATTAGAGAGATTGCTTTCCAGAGCACCGTGCCGAACATACTGGGTGCAGTTAGCAAAATCCATACCCGCGAAGGCAGCCGCTTTTGTTCCCTTTGCGAATATTCGTTTTCTGGAGAAGGCATGTTTATGTATAGCGTTGTTCAAGAACATCATGAAAGACCTCCCATCCTTCTCTACTAACATCTTACCCTTTTCAGTTTAGTTATTTCAGTTTCGAGTAGTTTAAGTAGTATTATTGCCTCATCCAATTAGAGAGAAAGAGGAACCAATTCTCGAGCACCATTCTGTTTTAAGTTCGAATTCTACTGTGATTTTTAAGATCTGCCAAATAACTTGTCCCCCCCCCCTTTATAATTCCTTGTGTGGTTTTATAATAGTCTTAAGAGCTGTCGTTTTATAGAATAATCGCGTGTTTTGTTTTATTGTTGAGTTTTATTGTTGCTACAATTTTAGTTCCGTTTTATAATCTCTCGTTACTCAATGTTTTATTCGACCTACATTAACGAATAAATTTTTGAATTGGCTGCTATTTTTTT